TTTAGGGCTTAGGGTTTCCAAACATCAGGAGTCCCTGCTACAGTGCTACAGGGGCAAAAAAAAACGCTCCCAAGCTTGGTTTCTTTGACACCAATGTTATCGGTAAACTTCCTCTGAATGGGGATTGGATTTCAGGGACATATAGCAGCGCTGGGCGTGGTTGAGTGTTACGACTACAGCCTTGACGTGGGCCCTTGGCAGCCGAGGGGTCTCAAGTGCTCAAAACGAGTTATCGGTAGGTTGTCGGTAGTAGCGCTATCGGCTAAAATCATCACTTGGAATGGAAAGCACCCTGGTCGAGCTACTTATAAAGTTGAATTGTCCTTATCGGTAATTTTCTTCTGACTATCGGTCAAGGCTTGTTATGAAAAAGGCTATAACTATCTATAACTTAAGGGACCTGCCTAGACTAAGCCAAGAGGCGCGGGGTTGTTAAACGACCCTTTTTTCAGCGGCTGTTTGAGGTGCCCTTGATGCTCGCAAGTTTCTGGTCCGAATAACTTCGTCATCGAACTATGAAAGTGCAACTGAAATCCCGCAAGCCAGCAAACAGTAGTTTTGATGTAGGCCCAGTGTTTATCATCAGTCAATTGTTTGGGAGGTGCCACATCACTCCCATCTTGCTACAGGCCCACTGTTCGAGCACTACGTATTCCCAACCAATGCCCGCATAGAGTGCCTTAAATTCATTACCACCTATCCCCCACTATTTACCCCTTTGAACACATAATTCCGGCTTCTACAGTTTGAGCGGAAGGAAGGGTTCCCCACTCGGGGTATGGATTAATTTGCTCTCCTAATCTGCCCTCATGGAGCTATGTTCCGACAGTACCTATTACCCTTCATTCCGCACAAAGCACTCGTAGCCATTGCAACACTACGCCGCTTCGATCTTCAGTTGCTGTTGCTCCCACCTCTTCTGTTTTTGTGGATGTGGAAACCCTAAACCCTATAGTAGTTTCCATTTTCTTTTCCATTATCCCAATATAGCCCAAGTATATACCATATTACCCTAAACCCTAAACCCTAAACACATTATGGCTTTGCTGTCTGGGCCTCTCATTCTCTCCTTGCCCTTGCTTCCCTCGCCTCCTCCGCTGGACACGCGGAAAAAGTCTCCGGCTCCAGGTGCTTCGGGCCGTGTTCCGTTCTTAATTAGGGTTTAGGGTATATAGGGTATAGGATATAGGGTATATGGGGTATATAGGGTTTAGGCTTTAATTTCTGGAATTGGGCTGGGAATTCTGGGTGCTGAGCTCTACACAGCAGGCCCGACGCAGGAGTACATTTTTCATAGGGTATGTTGCTTGTAGTTCTGCTGCTTGAAGCCTTCATGGCTCCTGAAAAAGCTTAGCCACAAATCATCTGTATAGCTGCCTGCGGCGTTGGGAGGTGGGCACTCCAGGGAGTCTCACGGTAGTCTGTGGACTCGGGCACTCCAGAGAGTGTTACGGTAGTCTCTGGGTTGGGCACTCCAGAAATTCTCACGGTAGTCTCTGGGGGTGGGCACTCACAGGCAGTCTCAGCGGGCGAGGTCGGCTGACTAACCAGAAGGACCAGTAGCTGACTTTAAGATCTAACAACCCCACCCCGAGGGTGGGGAACAAGCAAGATGAAACTTAAGCCATAGTCTAAACTCCTAGTATCCTCCTTGATAGCCCCTATAATAGTCCCCTATATAATCCCGTACATAATCCCTCGTAAGGAATTCAGACTATAGCTCACATAAGCACACTACCCCAAACGCATTTGCAAGGACCTGGGACAGCGGCTGAAAGAAATCAGGCCAGGAAGCAGACCTCCCCGAGCAGAGCTTTCGTAGCGTGGAGCTTTTATAGGGATAATGGAAAAGAAAATGGAAACTACTATAATGGGTTATATAGGGGTTATATAGGGATAATGGAAAAGAAAATGGAAACTACTATATACTTAGGTTTAGGCTTTAGGGTCTATAGTCCCCCTCAAGTAGATAGAAATGGCTTTGGGAATAAGATCCCCATATACCCCATAATCTATCTTCTAAACAGGGACTACAAAAGTGAGCATGGATGTATATGTAAGGACTCGTGCTTAGCGCTAGCGCTTACGGTTTAAAGTTGAAGGACGGTTCCCTCCCCTGAGCTGGCATGGAAGTCCAGAAGAGGGCTACAAAGACTGTGCAAGGGGCCTATCTGGGTCTCCGTTTTAAGTTAGGGAAGGCGTGGCTTCTTCTGGTTGGGGATGTAACTAGAAAATCATCATGTTCAGTGATATTGCGTTTCAGCGTTATGGATGCGTACACATTACTACATTGTCTACTTCACAATTTCCTGCATCTGCTTTCAATCACATACAGAGCTTGGCACGTAAAGACTGACCATACAGCAACACGATGATGCTGGCTATGGTCGATGGTTGTGATGCAACTAGCAATAGCAAGAATACACTCGGCGAAACTAACATGGCAACTGGCAAAGGGGGCTTGAGATGTTGCACCATTTGGAGTACCGATCGCAATATTCGAGCTACGAAGGGTGACGCCAGATCCACCGCATGGGCTAATTCAGCATCATGTGCTCTATGGCGTGGGGCATCATGTGTTGAAGCGCGTTGGTGTACGGAACCTTGAAAGAGAGGCCTCACGTATTGCTAGGTTTCAGCCATGTGAGAGCAACACCCCCAAATCAATAATACCTCCGGCAGGGTCGGGAGGACTAAGTAAGTAGTTAAACAACCCCTATAACTCATACAGTAACCCTACTTACCCCCGTTACTAACTCACTTAATGTTGGGTCCTGATTAGTGTAGGCGGGGCCGCGCCCCCCAAACAGAAAAGGGTCCCTAGTTAGTTGAAGGGGGCGCTATTTCCCAGACAGTACCTGGTTATTAGGTTTTACTTCAAATTCAATAGGATGAAACAGGATCGGCTCGGTAGTAGATCAGAAGGGTCTTAGAAGGGATTTAGCCTTGTTTCGAGTGAATTCTTCTCAGAATCATGTAAGGACCCCCAAACGGATCAGGGGGTGCTGCATAATTTCGGCGAAGCTTCGCACAATTAAGGCTCCCCACACTAATCGGGATCAAACATTGCTATTGCTAGATCCCCCTGACCCTCCCAGCTGCCAACCTATAAAGCCTGAACCAAGAAGAACTGCTGAACCTTACAGAAGCAAGGCCTTCCAACCACTAAACCCTTAGCCCCCTAACACCTAAGACCCAAACCCCTTAGCCTGAACTCCTAAACCTTCAGCCCCTAGCCCTAAACCCCTAAACTCGTAAGCCCCTAAACCCCTAAGCTCATAGACCCCGCACCTGACTTTGCAATCCTATGATGGCTTGCAGCTTGCCTGATCCTGGCATCTGAGCCAGCCTCCGAAAGAAACACAATTCCAATAAGGGGGTTTAGGGTTTAGGGGTTTGTAATAATGGTAAAAGAAAATGGGAACTACTATATTATTTAGGGTTTAGGGCCTAGGGTCAGGGGGACTTAGCAAGGAAGGTTAATAATGTGGATAAGTAGGGTTACTATATGAGTTATACTGATGAGCAAGCAACTAACAAAAGTCCCCCTGACCCTCCAAGTAGGGTTCCGAGTGTAGGGCTTTTACGTCTACGTATATTGACCCCAATAATGGAGAGTCAACTAGCAAAGAAAATGGAACATGAAATGGAAGCTGGGGTATGTTACGGATTTAATAAGGTATTAAGGGGTTTAAGTACCAACACTGTACTAATAACGGAAAATCAAATGCAAGAGAACATGGACAATGAAATCGAAACTGGATGTATATCGGTGTTCATAAGGATAACGAATTTCATTTCCCCAACCCCTGAAATTAGGACCCCAGTATTGTCATATCACAGCTACGAGGTCATTCTTTCAATGCACCAAACGTTAAATGAAGCCGTCTTAACAAAAGTGGGGAACCGCCTGAAATGCTCTACATCGGGGCTTGGCAGCTACTGTAACATCTTGGGGTCCAACACCTCCTATGATTCAGGGATTAGGGTTCAGGGTGTGCCTTACCCTCAGATGGTGATATGCCCGTTGTACGAGCCATACATGGAGGCACCCACCTGGACCTGGGGTTTAGGGTTTAGGGTCATTATGGGTTCTCTTTCTCACCCCATGCTACCTTCTGTAGCTTCCCGCACAGTTAAACTTTGTCTAGGGCTACTTGGAGGGGAACCCATGAATATTGTTGTGTCCAAGCACCTTTAACTTTAGAGTGGATTTAGTGAGCATCCCGAAGCACAACAGGGCCCAGTCTCCAAAGAAAACATGAGATGATCTTCGGCAAGTCATTTGGAAGAATCGTGATGCTAAAATCCTAGACCATGAACCCAGATAGTAAACCTAGCCAGTGTGTCATCAAGGAAAACTGGTGAATCCCCCTCACACTTACGACACCTTTTCCCAACAATGTCAACATAGAGTCTTAGACTCCCTCCGCTCAGAAGATATGCCGATCTGAATCTCAACCATTGACGGTAATAGAAGTCACATCGGTGCTTGCATCTGTCATGTCTAAGCAAAAGTTTGGCAAAACCCAGAACATTTGGCCCTTACAACGCCCCCCATAGCCGCTTCAAACCATAGCGCTTCCACAGGGGCCTGCATGCTTAAAGTGATTCTGAGAACCAATAAGCTATTGCGTAAGAGCGCGAGCAACGAGATTTTTGGGTCGAAATGCTACAAACTATTCGGGCTTCCACGTCAATCTCAGACATCAGGCAAGCTGCAGGTGCACGGCCCAGGACCAGCGTTGCGATTTTTCACATGTCGTCATCGAAGTGCCTTGGGGCTTTGCGGCAAGAATTGCATCTCTGCACGGGTAGCAATGTCGCTTGCGCAAGTGCATCTTCAGGCGCAGTGCTTGGGATTGCTTGGGAAGATGCTATGAGGGACATAAGATCTCAGGATGGCCAATGCTGAATCGATTCAATGCTCATTGCTCACGATTGTGGCCTTCTAGAAATTTCGAGTTACCCAAAACTCCCAGAGCGCGCACATTTTTCACGTTATGTCGTCGTCGGACAAGGGGCTGAAGCCGAAAACCTGCTGCAGTGCATCTCGAAGCTGTGGTGTAGAGAGGATCTCAGTTGCTGGGTAAGACAGTGCATTCACGCAGCAGCTGCACTCCGCTGGCAGAGCAAGCAGGACCTTGGCACAATTTCGAGCCATCATAAAGCGTGTTGCGAAGATTACGATTTGCGGGAAGCTATCCTCCACTTGCTTCGTACCGGGGAGGGGGTATCAGAATAAGGATGGCCGAGTACGTCATTTCTGCCAAGAACATTATTCCCCAAAACCATCAAAACATTACTGGTGCCACCCTCATCATAGAACCCACCCCCTAAAAGGGAGCACAGCAAGGAGAGGGCCCCCGTAAGGATGTATGGGGATTATACGGGGATTATGGAGGTCCTAACTATGGCCTGGATTCCTGGATCATGTAGGGAACACTTTGCGAACCACCCATTTCTGATCCTTGATCGAAGGACACCCATCTGCAGGGTTGTACTCGTTGCATATTTCCCAATGAAACAGAGGTACAAAACATGCTTCCCTGATTTTCTCCTTACAATCCCATGCGTTGACATATTCAACAACAAGTACTGCTCTGTTGCCACTGTGTTGAGGGACGGTGGAGGCTGGCTGTATATGACACATCTACACCGCGAACCCTGACATTCAGGTCCTGCATCCCCGGGCCTCCTCCACTTAGGGTAGGGTTTAGGGTTTAGGGTTTTGGGTTTAGGGTTTCGGGTTTAGGGTTTAGGATTTAGGCTTCTCAAGGGCTCCCAATGTGATAGACCCCTCCAAGAAGGAACCTTAGATGGGACGGAGAGGGTCTGCCCTACCTGGAGGCTCCTGAGGAAGCTTGTGCCCTATAAACCAGCTGCCTAGACCCCTATACCTAACTTTGTGTGGAGTAGCTGCTATATGCGAAATGGAGTACCTATAACGGGGCAAGGGATAGAGGTTCAGGTGAATACCCTTCAAAACCCTAAACCCTCAAACTCCACATCCTAAACCCTACAAACCCTAAAACCCTAAACCCTCAACGCTAAAACCTTGAATCCTAAATCCTGAACCACCCTAAACCCTCTTTTTGCCTAAGCCCTAAAACCCTAAACCCTGAAACTCTAAAAACCTAAAACCCTGAACCCTAGACCCTAAAACCCTAAAGACCAGGCCCCCAACCTGCCGGCAAGACTTGGGGCCGAAAGTCTCACAGCGCAAGCCTGCGGCCGTCGCCAAGGAGCGAAGCGATCTTCGTTGCGGAGCCTCCAATGGGGTCTTTAGGGTTTACGGGTTAGGGTTTGGGGGTGGGGCCTCCCAAGGGGTGTTTATGACTTGAGGGTGTATAGGGCCTATATAGGGCTTTCCCAAATACTTTTCGGGTTCGTGGTTTCCCAAAATTCGGGGGGTACGTGTAAAGGGAGTATGCAGGGTTTATGTAGGGCTTATGTAGGGTTGAGTGTTGAGGGATTAGGGTTGAGGGTGGGCTATAGACTGAACTCCTGGCTCGTAACACCTATAATACTCCCCTATAGAATCGCCTATATCACTCCCTTTAAGGAGCTTAGACCATAGCTCATGTTGGGGTTTCCCAAAATTAGGGGTTTGTTGGATTAGAGTTATACTGCGGTTAATTCTAGGGGATTGACGTAAGGATATGCGCATATGCACTTCCATATGTGCGTAGGGCTTAGGGCTGTTCGCTTGTCTTGCTGGTTGCTAGTAGGTAAGGGAGAACAACATTGAAAAGCCCCCATGGAAAACAAAATGGTGCTAAGCCCTAAACCCTAAACGCTTAAAACCTAAACCCTAAACCCTTAAACTCTAAACCCTTAATCCCTAAACCCTTAAACCCTTAACCCTTAAACCCTAAACCCTTAAACCCTTTAAACCCTAAACCCTTAAGTTGATACTTGCCAAAAGTGACTGAAGGGAAGGAGAACAGAATGGAAGCTACTGTTTAGGGTCTAGGGCTCAATTAATGGAAAGGACTATAGCCCCCCTTAAGTAGACAGAATATGGGGCATATGGGAACCTTATTATATTTATATCCAAAACTAAATTCTATCTACTTAAGGGGGACTATATACTATTTTGGGTTATCTAGGTTATGAGGATCCATTCCTCCGTTCTCTATTGGCAAACAGTAAGGGGGGGATGACTCTGCATAGACTTCAGGTTCCTTGATCCGCAGACTGCAAGTGCGCGTGAAGTCTCTATGGTAAGAGGATTCGCGTTCAAGGAATCAAGCGTAAGAAAGGACAGGGTCTAGAGTTCTAGTGGTTCTGGATTCCAGGCTTCGGTTTTCGCTATAGATTAAAGAGTTTATGTTTGTCTGTTGGTTCTGTTGGAGAGGGGAGTGGATTTTGCAGTAGAGAGATGATAGAGTCCGATAGATGATAACGGAAATGGGAGGCCTAGGAAAGATTATGGCCATGGTCTCTTATCACAAAGATTTAAAACAGCTCCCAAGGCCTGCAGCGTCCCAGGAAGGAGCAGCCGCTGGTAACCCTTCTCCGACGGCACCACAGTTCGCAAAGTACCGTGCCAAGTGAAAGGCTGCAGGCTGTGAGAGCCTGAGATTCAAGACCCCTACACCCTAAACAGACACAGCAGCGCAAGGTTCCATTCCGGTCAGCAGTTCAGACTGGCACCCCCTGTCAGATTCAAGGTTTGGAGTCTGGGTTTTGAGGGGGGTTTGAGGGAAATGGGTCTCTGGGGTAAGTACGGAGCCATTGATGGGGTGAGAGAGGGAGCATTACGGGCTTCTAGTTCTTCCTTACTGACCAGAGGCAAGTCGCCGCGAAACGCCGCTGATAGTCCCAAGGAGGAGCGGCCCATTTCCAGGTGTGATTCAAAAAAAGGGGACGTCAGCTACCCCAAACCCCGAGATTCCTAGAATAAGGAGGCAGACTAAAGTTCTAATTTCTATGGGTTGGGTAACGAAAATCCTTTTATGTCTGGTACCTAGCGCCTGCGCAACTTTACCCTGCCCCAAACTGGGGCAGAAACCCGCGTTGGCCTGATCCGCAACGGCTGAACGTCTTTGGATAGTCCCCCTTAGGTAGATAGAATATGGGGTATATGGGGATCTTATTATAATTTACCCAAAGCCATATTCTATCTACTTAAGGGGGACTATAGGCTCTCTTTGGGTTTTCCGTGTCAGCCCGGCAGGGCAACATAAACACGAAAACCTGTGTCGTATGCTTGGAAGCTCCGTGGCAAAAAAGTTGATCCCCAGGCCGGCCTATGATTTTGGAGCGCAACTCCATGCAGTGGAGTGCTTGTGAAAGTGAGCAGCGGGCACATGCTTGGAGGGTCAGGGGGACTTAGTAAATGGGTTAATAACGGGGATAGGTAGCGTTACTGCATGGGTTAAAGGGGTTCTTAACCTACTTACCAAGCCCTCGTGACCCTCCAAGTGCTATTATCCTTCCATATCCTTCCTAAAATAAACCCAAACCCTGCAGGGCCTGATCCGCCTGTTAACATGTAAATACTACTCTTCAAGGCGTAATTAGCTTTGGGATAATGGAAAAGAGAATGGAAACTACTATAATAATGGGTCATATAGGGGTTCTTTCGGGATAATGGAAATGAAAATGGAAGCTACTATTTAAGGTTTAGGGTACTCTTAGGCCCTTTTCGGACAGGACACCCTCTACTACAGTGCATGCATGGAATGACAAGGGCAAGCCCTGAGCCCCAGATCCTACCCTACTTCGGGAGTTCCAAAAATTAAGGGTACCTTTGACCCCAGAAGAAGGACTATAGCAGTTAGGGGTCGAAAATAGGGTCCACCTATTGTGGGAAACCACCATGCGCATCGAAGGCGTGACAGCAACAAGTGCGTCTCTTGTTCGGCGAGGAAATCCGGTCTCTGCCAAGCAGGTGCATCCAAGCAAGGTCCCAGCAGGCGCAGCTTGACCTAGAAAATTGTAGCCGCAGACTCAGGGTTGGGGGGCGATAACATATACTTAGAGGGTCCCAGTGACCAAAGGATGGGGCTCCAGGTCCCAAATACAGTTCGGATTCGGATTATAGCATTCGGGTACCTAAAGCCCTACCTTGGACCCTTAGACCCAGGGGCCCGCGGTTGAGACCTTCAAGCCCTAAACCCTAACGAATTACGATCTTAAAGGAATTGCGTTCCCAGTCGCTCAGGCTTGAGCTGTTGATACTTCAATCAGCTCTACGCGAGGCTTTGGGGCTCTTTTTGGGGGGCTTCAGGGTTCAGGGTTTAGGGCTGAAGGAAGTTTCTTTTTAAGCATCTGTACGCCTGCTCCGAAGGGTAAAGGGCCGCTAGACCCACACGCAGTGTGCCACCTTTGTCCGCTTCAGCTCAAGGACAATAGACTGTAGTATACCATGGTATACCTTAGAATAACATAATATACTATAGTATAATGAACTATAACAGCCTATAATATACTTTAAATGGTTCAAGCACCAGCGGACCATAAGTTAAGGGTTTACTAGTTCATCTGGGGTTAGGGTTGTGAAGTCTATAGAGCTTGAAGTTGAAGTCTAGCGCGTAGGGGTTTGGGGTTTAGGAATTGTCGGCTTGAAGTTCAGGGTTTTGAGTTGGGGTGTAGGTTTCAGGGCTTAGGGTGAAGCTTTGGTCTTAGGAATTTAGGGTTGCAGTTTGGCATCTAGAGCTCAAGAGGGACGAACCAACATGGCATGTCTCAGGAGCACCCACATGCATGCATGCATGCAAAGATGGACACATACATACATACATACATACATACATACACACATACATGTAGAATAACCTTAAACCCTATACTCACCGAGGGGAATCCCTACATATGATGCCTGGACTAGAAAACCTTGCACGACTGACTTCGCCTGTTCAGGACAAAGGAGCTCTTGCTTGCGACATGTGTGTCGATAATACGCTTTCTTCAGAGAGTACAGGAGCTGAGCAAGTAGCACAGTAGAAGCAACTGGGCATTGGAGAAATTCCTGCCGCATTGGGAATATAGACGATCCATAATCCATACATGCGAATACTCAAGCTACAGCACGTTGAAGGTGATGTGCAGGGGGGCCTGCTCTAATAGGTCAATCTTGAAAAGCAATTCAAGGGAAGCTAGTTCAGCAAAAGGTCGTTTGACCTAATGCATGTCACAGTCACAGCGACCTTAATGCTTCAATAGCTGCGCGGTATCCACAACCCGAACCCGACTTGAAAGGTACATCTTACCAAGAAGAAGACACTCCTCTTGTATAAAAACCTAATGCATAGAACCCTAAACCCTAAACCCGAACCCTTACACTGGAGGCACATGCATTTTTTCAGAGGTGTGGTCGGTGAAGAACCAAAGACTGTCCAATGCCTTTCTCAGAATATGGTAGTTTCCCAAAATTAGGGGTACCTGTTTTAGGGGTTATGTAGGGGTGTAATATAGGGATTATATAGGGATAATGGAAAATAAAATGGAAGCTACTATTCAGGGTTTAGGGTTTCCCAAAATTAGGGGTACCTTTTTGGGGGTCCCCATAATAAGGGTTATAGTATTTTGGGGTCTATATTGGGGTCGAAACTACCATATGCCCTGGCTGACAAAGGTCGCTGCAACTATCTGTAGTACACGTGCAGGCATGTGCACTTGGCTGAGAACTGCATGTGAAGCGCAAGATTTTGCGTCCGCTGCGCAAGCTAAACTGCATTGCTAGTACTCCTAGCTCACACCCGTAGAATAGCGTTGGCTGATGTATTATAGTAGCTTCCACCTTCTTGCATGGAAAAGAAAACGGAACCACAGAAGTTGAAGCCCTGCGAACACAAGACTTAGGCCCATCTTTTATGGGCCCAGTCTCATTCTTGCAAGCCATCATGTCAATGCGGCCTTCACGTCAAAAAACATATACAAGTTGTAGGTCCCTCACCAGCAGAGAGACCGCCCCAAACACTCATGAGGCCCGAATCCCTATAATACAATCGTTTCCATTTAAGGGTAAACCCCTACACCCCAACCCCCTATTCAAGAGCCAGGCGGAGTAGGCAAGCCCTCCAGCAGCAACAAATTTGCCACCACCCGCTGCAAAAGAGCACCTGACATCAGGGTAACGAAGGAGCCGGAATGGTAGGAGCCCCTTCAAATGGCCTACAAGGGCTATACAAGGGTATATCAAGTTTAGGACTTTCGAGGTGCAATAGCAATGGTAAGTACACATGGGCGTAATGGAAAAGAACATGGAAAACTACCATCTACGTAGGACTGATTTTCTGTTTAACCCTAAACCCTAAGGGTTTTGGTGCCAGGGGAGTGAGAGGGATTCCCTGCTGTGTAAAGTATTCTGTATATGCAATACTATACCCAAACCTTGGGTCATTCCCCCTCCCAGTAACTGTCCTTAAAGGGGCCTTATTAAGGGGGTTCTTATAACTCCTATAACCCATTGTGGTAACAGTTACTGTAAGGGGGAATGACCCCACCCAAACGGATGATATAATCTTACTCTGTATTGGGTACCATCGAATCCCCAAATCAAATGCTGCTCATGTAGGCTTCTAGGTAGATGCCTACATGGTTAGCAATATTGGAGAATCAAAAGGAACAAATGGAAATAGAACCCTGGGTTCTATTCAGGATTCAGATAGGGTGATAAAGGGATGTACTAAAGAACAATGTTGAAGTAAGAATGGAAGACCAACTGGAAAGGAACATGGAATAAGAAATGGAAACTGCGGCCATGCAGAGTCTTAGAGGGATTCGGACAATTCGAAGCCTGAATACTTACCACCATCCAGGTCCTAACCCCTAAACCCGAGATTTCCTGGATTCCTCGCACAGGTCTGAGATACAGTACCTCAAAAAGACCTCAACATGATAGCAGGAAACGGGTGACCCTAAATTTAGTATCAACAGCAGTGGTGATTTTCTGGCTTCCACATTAGCTTCTAGGACGTCTTTTGGGGTTAAGGATTTGGAGCTTTGGATTTGGATGTTGGACTGGATTGGAGTTGGAGTTTAAACCTTTTTCTGCAACCAAATACAGGCAGCAGGGTCTAGGGAGTTCCCTAACATGTACACAGCGGTCGTCTGCAAAGCGGTTACTTCCTTTCCAGAGACCCTGCGCGAACGCGCTGCCTGACAGCACATAGGTTCCTGCGCAAGTGCCCACCAAACCTGCATGGGGGCCCTTTTTGGGTTGAGGGTTGGGGTGGTGATGCCGGGTCTACATGATTTGTCAAGCTCCCGTTGCAGTTGCATGGCATGCTCAGGCTGCTGTAAGGACCTTGTTGATTAGAACTCTCTTGTTTGGCGCCGTTTTCAAGGTTTCCATAACTCCAACAGGACTGTGGATACTGAAAATCCTACATGACCCCAGTATACCACAGTACCATAAGTCAAGGCATTAGGCACCTTGGGTCCCCCTACAGTCATCAAATTTTAGTATCCACCGCAGTAGTACCGGATTTTGATTGAGGATCTGGGTTTCAAATCTGCCTTGGAACCCTCCCAATCATAATCTTTTGATGTTTATCTGGGGTTAGAGTGTTAACCTAAAACTAAAGGCTATTTGCAGGAAACGGCTTTAAGGGTTTGCTTCAGAGTCCTTCACACAATAATGTATACAGCAGGGAGTGGCTCACTGGTTTGGGCGTGGCCGGTTGTCGGATGCGCTTAACGGCCTAATGCAACGACCCTCTTCAAAGCACTAAGAATCCAGAGAAGAAAGGGCCCCTGCCTTTTGGAGCTCCAGGTTTCGTTAAATTGTCGGTGTCTCTTTGGGGCACCCAAATAGGCAAGGAGGTCCTCTAAGAGCCCTTGGGATACCTTGTAATCCCCTTTGAAATAGATGTTGTTGTGGGTTACGTCCTA